AATGTGCTGCACCACCCCCAACCAGACCGGAGGCATGGGGCCTGACTAAACTACTCTATTTTCCCCACAGTGGACCAGAGCACTTCTTTTTGGATAGAGTACTCTCTTCAGTGTAATCTCCCCAGTGCCCTGTCAATCATGAGGTTTGCCAGTTTGGCTAGTGGGAATAGGCATGATTCTCAGCTTTGTGCTGAGTGATGGGCACTATTTGGTGCATGCATGTGAGGAAATTACCTAAGGCCAGGGAAAGAGCTAACAGAAAGGATTAGCGATACCGGGTCTGACTCACTCAAATAATGTTTGGGCATGGATGTTGCTGAACTTCTTGGAACTAAGGACACTAAGGACAAAATAAACCATAGGATTGACCATGGGCTATCACTTGGTCACAACTGTAAGGCAGTTCTTCTTGGTGGTTAATACAACATGCCCATCTGAAGACAGGAAGAAAAAGAGTTTGGAATTCCACACACTTCCCTACATCCTCTCAGAGGGAGTGTTTGCTTTCCCTCTTTTACCCCCCCTGCCTCACACACAGCTGAGAAACACCACAATATACCACAAACCCACATCCTGGAGTGAGACTGAGCTACTCACCGGGCCTGATGGGAACACCAAAGGGAAACTCAGAACACAACACTGATGACCTCGAGGTGAGCAGAATCTTAAGTCAGCTGATCTGAGTTCAGATCTGACCAGGACGCCTACTGAATGCACAGTTCACCTTATGTTTCTTCAACTCTCTGAGCATTAGTTTTCTTTCTCATCTCAGAGATGGAGATAATAATTACAGCCACCTCATAGAGTTCTTGCGAGGAGTAACGGTGATGATGTTCATAACCCAGGTGTAGAAGAACTTCCACAGGAGGCCTCAACCCTTTCTCTGTACCCACTCAGAAGCCAGACTCAACAGTTCAACCTATTCCCCAAATAGACCCACTTCACAATACATTAGCAACAACTGATGTTTGCTGAAGAATTCATGGGAGGTAGGGAGGATATTGACACCGAACACCACGGCACACAGCCCACATCTCTGAGGCGTGGCATTTGAGGGTTAAGTGTCAGGACTTCAGAAACAGGCTGTGAGAGTTTGAATCAAGGCTCATCACATTCTTACCGGGTGATGTTCTGGTCTGCTAGGGCCACCATAACAAAGTACCACAGACTGCGTGGTTTAAACAATGTAAATGTATTTTCCCACAATTCTGGAGGCTAGAAATTTGAGATCAAGGTGTATGTCGGCAGGGTTGGTATCTGCTGAGGCCTCTCTCCTTGGCTTGCAGATGGCCACCTTCTTGCTGTGTCCTCGTATGGTCTTTCCTCTGCATGTGTATCCCTGGTGTCTGTTTATGTGTCCAAATTTCCTCTTCTTATTAGGACACCATCCCTGTTAGATTAGAGGCCCACCTGAATGTCCTCATTTTAACTTAGTCCTATCTTCAAAGACCTATCTCCAAATACAGTCACATTCTGAGATACTGGGGGTTTGGGCTTCAACATACGCAATTGGGGGACACAATTCGGCCTCTAGCGAACAATCTTGGGAGTTGCCTAACCTTTCTGGACCCTCAGCTTCTTCCATCATAAAGTGGGGGTGATGCTGCCTACCTCACAGGAGCATTGTGGGGAATAAATGAGACAATGCATGT